CACAGCAGGTGAACATGGAAAGCCAGTTTTGTAGTTGTGGAAGTGAAAGCATCATAGCTCCAAAACAAAAAAAAAAATTCCACCCCCCCAGGCCCCTTAAGACCTCCATATATCACAAAGAACAATACAGAAGAGCTTCATATTTATAAAGCAGCTCTGTAAGAGGAGTGGTATGTCTGCAAGGCCTGCTGGTGATAGAGCCGGAGGAAATTTGCCTTGGCAAAGTAGTGACTCATGGAATGATTAAAGTTGGAAAGAAGACAACAACAAAATAAACCCTTCACTTGCAGAAAGTCCTGGAGAACAGCATATGGATTTGGTCAATTAAAATAAACATGTTTCTCACTTGTTTAAAAAAAAAAAAAAAAAAAAGGGAAAGCAATCGGTAACCTCAGTCCAAAGCAGTCACAAAGTCTAACTCTCACTAACCACCAAAAATGCTAGGCATGTCTTAAAATTCAGGGGATAGCTTTAAAAAAACTACAGAGTATGGTTTTTTTTCTCTTTCTAGTTTTTAAACCTGTTAAAGGTCAAACTATTGAGCTTTTATTTTGATTTATTTTAAAAGAGCACCCCTGTAATCAAGAGTCTAACAAACAGCCCTAGCCAAGGAGGACTCAAGATAAACCAAAAGTCTTCTCCTAGACGTAGATAGATAAGTAATTAGGTATCAGTCTGATTTTACAAACATAAAAGGAAAAAGAACAGCCTGGCTGGTGTTTCAGCTGTTGCTGTTCTTGATGCAGTTATAAGCTACTGCAAAGGGACTAAACAAGTATTAAAAAGAAAAGAAAAAAAAATAATCAGGTTTTGAGTTTGGCAGTTAGAGGACTCACAAGGACTTTGATAATCTCAGGTTAAATTCCCTGCCCCAGTTAATATTTAATTATTTATAGAACACAAATTGGCTTCAACAGAAAGTCTGAAAGACTCTTCAAAAGGACACTTCTCTGACCTGGAAAGAGGTCTTAGAGTCACACGCGGTCCAAGCAAGTCTCCCCCTCCTTGGGCATCTGTGTTCTCTTTTTTTTCACAGAGAAACCTGAAATGCTCCATGTACTCTGCAGAAACCCCCACATCGGTAAGCACTGGCCCCTGGTGCTAGTCCAGGAGGTAGGAGGTCTTGGACATCGGCAAAGTCCATTGTGCGTATGCACACAGGATGTTACTGTGTTGTACATGGCAAAGCTGCTGTCTGTGCGCGAGGTCGTAGCTTCTGCACTTCCTCTGCTGTGAGAAGGCAGAAGACCTAATTTTGGAAGCAGGGTTTGCAGTTACTAAGGGGGGGAGTAACAAATACAGAGCTAAAATCGGTCAGCAGGCAAGGCCCAGGACTTTGTGCAGAGCTACAAGAAGCATGTTTTTCAAATTACTATGAATCTATAAATTGGAGTTGGTTAAAATTGTTGTTCTTCTTGTGACTTGGGTATTTGTAGCCAGCCCAGTTCGATCAGTCAAGGATTTAAAACAGCCTTCTTTATCAAATGCTGAGATCAGTGATATGAAATAATGGAAAACCTGTTCACTAGCTTGCCTGGGCATGGAACTGGGTCAAACTGGTTGATCCCCAGTCTCAGCCCAAATTAGTGAAAACAACAGCAAAGCTCCAGAGACCTGCATGTAACTAATTCTGACAAGCTCACTCATTCCCTTTCAGAAGCCATTCCTTTTTCTTCTCTCTCTCTCTTTTTTTTTTTTTTTTTTTTTAATACAGAATGTGATTCTGGTGCTGATTGTTCAGCTTTGGTTACAGTAGCTCAGTATTTCAATCAGTCACCAAAGTGGAAACCTGCACAGGGTCTACCCAGATTTTTGTTTACTGAGCCTTTCAATAAAAACACGTAATTCTGAGAATTCTGCTGGATGGGGAAGTCATAAAAGAATTCTAAGAAATTCTAAGAATTCAGAAAGCTAAGGTTGCCTCTTTGTAAGCCTGATTTAAATTCCCATTCTTCACTTTTTCTGTCAGCTTATCAGCACCAACATGGTAAAACTTAGCATTTTATTTTGTCAGTCAGTCAACAATATGGAGCCAAGAAAACATGCAAATTATTTAAAAGCTTTTCTCATCTGTGGTCATATCAGTTTCTGAGGCATGATCTTGCACAAGATCACATAAATGTTGGTGGCAAGCTTGCAAGCTTGTACCCCTTGACACGCTATCAAAACCTGCTTGACATAATGGCAAGAACATGACAGAAGCAATCTAAAAAATCCCAGACAAACCCTCCCCTTCCATATCAGTGTAAGTTTTGAGAGTTCCCTTAGCAACCAACACTGAACTTGCATACCTAATTGCTTCTTGCTGGCGATGAGAGAAATTGTGTACAAATGCACTGTGGATATACATGGGATGGGGGGCACGTCAACCTTGCTCGGATAGGAGTTCTTCTGGTGATAAGCAGCTAGACAAGGAGCTGTGTATTCTTGCAAACAGGAGCACATACACTCACAAAATAAACATCACTCCTGGCTAATGTCACACTGTCTGTTACTGAGGGTATTTGGAGGGGTTTTGTTGTTCCCCCCACTCCCCCCCAAATGATGTCTCAGGCAGGATATACAAGAGGGGAAAAACGAGGCCATCATCTGCACTTGCTACTGTCCCTTACCTTACCTGGCTCAGTCGTGGTGATCCTCTTTTTAATTAGGGTTTGTCTTCAAACCCACTGAAGCTGTAATTAGTCTTTCAGTTGCCTTCTATGGATGTGAGGCTCAGTCCTTCCCTGAGCTCAGTCGGGAAGTGAGAGAGTTACTGTGCTAAAGTAACTCGTGCAAGCAAATCCTTTCCCAGGTTGCTCAGATCCTTGGGAGCACTGCGACAAACTACAGCCCCAGCCCACAGTCTTCTCTGACTTGTGTCGGGGACTAACCCAGTACTGCTGCGCTGGGCTGGTTTTTACACTCTCAGATTATAAGCCTGAGACTCCAGCGACCACTGCTGTGAAGTTTAACACAAATAAATGTCCTGTTGTTGTGCCAAAACACGCTGTTCATTGGGGGTGCTGCAGATGATACGTAATGAGTATAATTCCCAGCATTTCAGAGGTAGTGTTGGCCGAGATTAGCAAGACTAACTTAATAAAGCACTATCATAATTGCAGATTTACTGGGAAGGGGAAAAATAATCAAATGAAAAAGGACAAAACCAGCAGGGAAAGAAAATTTATTTCCAAGCATCTACGAGAGTGCTACAAACAATAGAGTCTAAAACTCAAAGCATTTAAAACTATTAAAAAAATGTAGTTGACAATGTCCTTCTTAAAAATTAAACATAAAAATGTAGAAAATGCAGTTATTAATTCTAAAACTTGCTCAATAGTGAAATAAACCCAGATAGCATCAATGAGGATGGAGTCCTACAAGTGACTTTTTCTTACTTTATTTCCATTTGTTAATTTGTAAATTGATACTCATTTCATTTTTTAATGTTTATTCAAATTTATAATGGAGAAATGTGCAAATCTAGCAAAATATTCTTTGGATTATAAACAGAGAAAAATCAACAACCAAAGAAATTTGAACCGAGTTAATAATAAACTATAGAATTATATAGAATGCATACAGCTATAATAAAGTGAAATATTACAATAAACATTGTAGAGCAAATCTGCTGATTTAGCAAACTCTGCCTTATAAAACATAGGGATATAATGGGACAAGTGAATATGTTATGAATATAGAGCTGAAACATCATTCATAATTTTAACGAGTTAAATTTTAATCTAACTACATATATGGGGGTCTTCAGAAAAGCAATACACCAACAAATCAGATTTCCTCTCAGATCAAGCAGTTTGGTACCTGACTGCAAATGAAGGACAGGGTCTGTAAAATGAACGGTAGAAAAATGTATATCATTTCTATTTATTGCCTCTTCCCATATTGCAGCTGCTGATCTCTGACCCTAAACAGCAAACTATATTAAATTTAGCAGAAGTACAGCTGTACACAGATGCTGAAAATGTTGATGCGCGGAACATATTCCAATCCCTTGCTCATTCTGAACTAATATAAAAAAAGTTATAGATCATTTTTCAATTAAAAACATACATTACAAAGAACAACTCTGAAAGAACTCTGTATTTCCGTCATCACAAATTAAAATGTCTTCCTATCAGTAGACAATGCTATTCTACTGCAGTAAATGAAAAGAAAAAAAAAAAAATCAAAAGAAAAAAAAAAAGGAAGTGCCAGAATCTTAATTACTACTCAGGTAAGGTAATTGTCAGGTAGAACAGTCTTTAGGGAACTTATAGCTAAATTGGGTCAGATTTAAGTCTCTAGAACCCACAGAAGCTTAGCACAGATACGGAAATTCACAAGCCCGGAGTAAATTGTAAGTATGGAATACTCCTGTCCACTTATAAAGTCATTTCTGAAACCTCTGGAGTTTCCAAGATATAAGATAAATGCATATTACATGGGAAATATTGAAAAGTATTACACTTAATTTAATCCAGAAAACACAGTAGTATTATATGAAGATTATTACTGTGTTCTGGGAGCAGCCACAAGCTGTAGATAGAGAGGGTACAAAATGTTCACCAGACATTACATTTTTTTTAATCTAAAAAACATTTGTAAAATGTACTCGATTTTTAAATAATCACTTAACAAGGCAACAAACCAACTACAAACACATAATAAATAAGGCTATTAAAAGGTCACAATTGTAGTAAATTAGTCAGAACTATAAATGGGACATTAGAAACACTATGTTTTTCCTTATATGCTTAATAACCAGAACAAGAATTAAAAAAGAATCAGTTTATTTCAAAGTCTGCTTCTTATATTGAAGCACATATTAAAGCAACAGTACAATGTTCATAAAATATAAGTGTGATGCTGTAACATTTCTTACATGTCAGAATACTGATATTTGTATGTATACTAAAATAAGAATTTTAAAATTGTACAAATAGATACATTAAAAATGACATAGAAATAGGGCGCCTCCCACTGCAACAAGACAGAGTTTTTATATCTGGCACGTATTAGTTCAAGATGAAAGTATAAGCAAAAAGATTTACAAGAATCAGCAGTAACAAGTTTGATGCTCAAGAGACATAATAATTGTACATTGTACTGTACATACATCATATGGGTTTAAGCTGGCTGAATATTATATATTTCAAGTTTAAAAATGCACTACCATATAGAGTGTCCATAGTTTAAGGCGAAATTACAGCTCAGAACTGTTATCTTTTCTAATTTGTGGAAGCTTCTTTGACATAAAAGATTTAGATGTTCATAATACATAAAAGATTTCCCTTATTTGTAGGTTCGCTTTTAGCATTTTCCTTCATTTAAATATTTTGTATTTCTTAAGTGGGTTTTTTCCTCTAGTGAAGTTGGCAGCCAACTTCTATATTTGCCTTTTGTAGGAAAAGGTACTTCACAGTATTTACCACTTTCATGTCCTTTTTTATCAAAGGAATCCTCTCTGTCAAACTTAAATGTTTAAATGAGATTTTTCTTGATTTTTAAAAAAATACCTGCTTACATTTCTTCTGGATTCTTCAGAACATCAGACACAGTTCTTAAGGCCAAATCTTAAACTTTATTGTTAAGAATCGTCATCGAAAGTGTCTTTGGAGCCATACAAGTCTGCAAGTTTCTTAAATCGAGGTCCCCAATTTTGTAGATAGTCGTAGTCCAAATCAGAATCTGTTGTCGCTGACTCTAATGAGCTAAGTGAACCAGCCACTGAGCCTCTTCCTTCATAGCCATAGATCTGAATAGAGTCATAAGGAGGAGCAGTTGGATCATTATCAGCCTCTTGTATTCTTGTGTTGATGAAATCATCAACATCAACGCTATTAGGAGCCGGCCGAAGCCCTGGTCTTGGCATATACTGATACTCAGGTTTTATGTCTTTACGAGGAATAAATCCATTGATACCATCAGGGTTCTGCAAAGTAGCAATGTCAAAAGCTTCAGTATCTTCCTCTCCTCCACCTTCATCATCATAAGTAATAATGTTCTCTCGGACATCTTCTTCTTCAAAAACAATCAGAGGTTCTTTTTTCTGTCTTTTCAGTGTTACAAACAACACTACAATGACTATAGGGGAAAAAAAAAAAGCAAGTTAGACTGCAACCTCAAACAGTAGCTGCTTTATAAATAGATTATTGCGTTCACTGAAACCTCAGCTTTTGTGCTGCAGTTCATCATGTATTTTTGCTAACATCTGCATTTTTAGCATACCTAGCTATGTAAAAGCATTGATGTTTGTACATAGAATTGGACATACTGATTTGAGGTTTTCTGTTTGGGCTGAATGCCATTGCTCTTACTAATTGCTCATTACTGCAAGACTAATTCAAGAAAAGCATTTGTGGGCCCCCAGTACTGCACGAATGCTGTGGCGCTGCCTTTTAGCAGCCCAACCACATGTATATCTGCAACAAAACAGAGATGAATCTTTACTCTCTTCTGTATGCCCAAAGCTGAACTCATGTTTCATTTCCATGAAAACTGAATTTTTCTTAAGCAACACCTCAAAACACATGCCTTTGTTGTTGTGTTCCTCCTCGCTTCAAATTTCTACAAAATAACTTTAAAATACGTAAGAAAAGAAGGACTATGAATTACTATGGGCAAATTAAAACATTTTATATAAATACTTTCAAACCATCAGGAAATGCTTTACAGCACTTTCTTAAAAGCAGGTCTTCTGAGCCATTCATTTGTCTTCAACACAAGAGGAGTTAGAGGGAAATAGCTGGCAGGAGACATTAATCCTGGCTGACCTCAATAAGGAACCTGTCATCCAGGGAAGATCACAAAACTTAAAACTGTATGTCATGACCTCCTTTCAACAGTATCCCTGATTAACTGATGTTAGGCCGCAAAAGGACATTCTCTGAGCACACCTAGACGAATTCACTGGTGTTTGCTATTGCAGTTATCAAATATTGCATTTCAGCCAGGCAGATTAGTACCGCCTATAAAAATAAAAGCTGAGAAATTAAGATTCATTTATCCATCTTGGAGCTGAAGGCAAGGTTAATCTTTTAACACAAACAAGTGTAGAAGAGTAATAAATAAAGAAGTTTTTTACCTAACAAAATCACAATGCAAGCAAGAATGGCAATTAAAGCTCCAGTGCTTAATCCAGCATTGAGGATGTAGGCTTCAGCATTACAGGAGAGCAAGGAGCCATTGCTGTCACAGCCACAGACCCGAATGGTGAGGGTGTTGGTGCTGCTCATAGGGGGGAGTCCACCATCACTTATTACAATAGGAAGAAGGTATAAATCTTGCTTTTGGCGACTAAATCCTTCACGTCTAACAAGAACACTTGCTGTGTTATCTGTTTAGAGGAGAGAGAGAGAGTCATAATTTTTTCTTCCACAAAGTCATCCTCTTAGTAAATATTGAAAAAATATATCTTGCTACAATGGCTCTCAGTTTTCAGATGCTTTATTTATACAATAAACCAGTACAATCTATTGCCTTCCTAATGACCCAAGAGTAATTACAGTATTGTGTTTCATTCATACAGTACCACACTCAATTTTAATTATTTTAGGGTGATGAGGGCAACACAAGAAACACAAAAAATCGCTGTTAGCACCTCCTTTTAGCGCCCCACTAACTTTCTGGGAAACTCACAATACTTCATCAACTACCAGAATGACTATGCCTTGGCATTGCTGTTTGAGCTGGTTCTAGTCCCTTTCCAGAATTAAAGCCTTCAGTGGAGGGGAAAAAAACAAATCCCCCTGATTTATTGTTCTTGGTGTCAGACCTACAGGAATAGAAGGCAGAAATCTGTACCAAAATGGCCTGTGTTAATGAGACTCCCACTAAAATGAAAAGCCAACATTTGCTGTGTATTAGCAGATTTGAGCCTCGGTGTTGACCTGTTTCAATAAGAAACACTAAAGTAAGCAGTATTTTATCAGAACCTGTTTTTCACCCAAACTCCCAAAGCCAGAATTCAGAAAGCTTGATCATACATGCACAGCATGTCGGGGCACATTTTGAATTACGTGGCTGTGAGGAAGAGTTAAAAGTATTGCTGTAACACTATTTCCAGCTGTTCTCACTGAGCGGTTGCCTGCTATGGACCTACTGGTGCAGGGGGTGGAAACCAAGCTGCCATCTCAGCAGAGATCATCATTTTGGATAGTCCTTCACACTTCCTGGGGCAAAAGCATTTGAAAGGGAAGTGTGTGACATGAAATGCTGGGATGGGACGGCCGGTGCTTCCTGCTCCCAGCCACACCGGACAAAGGCGAGGAAACACAAACAGCAGTTCTTTATTGTGCTCCTTGTTTCTCAGTTCTCAGACTGAACCAAAGTTTATAAAATTGTAAACATCCTGCAGTAAATAAAATGAAACAATCATATCTGTGGGTTTCAGACCTTCAAAAACTAGTTTAGTATGAGGATTTACTTCACACAACCTTTTCTGTTTTGCCATGTTCTTTATTTTTCACTATATAACAGAAAGAAGAAAAAAAAGACTGGTTCTTTTATCTACTAAGGGAGGGCTATTCACCTCCAACAGTACCCATTTTACTATTGCCTTCGGGTACTGCAGAAGATTAATCATTTTCCTGTTGAAGAGTCAGCATAAATTCCAGAATTTAATAATGCAAATCATAAAACCTCTCTTAATTATCTAATCAGTGTTATTTCCATGAAAGTTAGTGAATAAATTATACCAAAAGGGAAGTATTCTTGCTTTATATTAACGACCCTTGCACCCTTGTCCTACCCCTGATGTAGGACAAGGTCTGAAACTGTCCCCAGATTTGGTGGACACAGATCAATTTATGGGATGAGAAGGATGTTTCCACTAGGGCCCTGTTTATCTGACTCTCCGACTAGTAACTTCTGCAGATCACACCAGAAAGGATGAAATTTTTTTTAGGACTGTCCTAGATAGGATCTCTTTGTTAGATGTCAAATTAATTCATGTCCCCACATCTACACCTCTCCTGCCAGGCCCACCACACCTGATGCCCAGTGTGGTTACCTCAGCATGACAGAACTGTAGTCTTTCTGCTACTGAAGTCTCACAAAAATAATGTCTGGATAGAATACAGCTTGCTACCTTCTCCTTGACATGATGGTCATATTTGCTAAGGACAGAGAAGCTGATAAAGATCTGATTATTTATTACTTGTGGTTTTTGGAGGTGCCCTTTGTCTCTTTTCAGAGACTTTCTAACCTCCTAAATGTTGACATGCATCATTTGCCCAGCTAGGCTTTGTAGCACAATTTTTTAAAGGACCTTAGTGATATCAGTGTCTGTGTGATAGGAATCTTATTTTAGGACTTTAAATTAATGGGCTTGTAACAATTTGGTATAAATAGAAATGTAACATCTAATATCTATTAAACTATCAACTAATACTTGAACTAATATATATTGATACAGAATAAAACTATTCCACAGGGTTCTCTAAAATGCATTTAATAATTCATTTCCTCAATATGAGAACAAAGATCTGCTCTATTAAATGAAAGATCACAACAGGACAGATTATTCTTGTGGCAAAAAATATGAACATTAATAGTGGGCTGAGCTACAACTGCCTAGGGCTGCAAAGGCAATCTGGAAGTAAACACAGGCAATATCATATATTTGTATATTTAATCTGTTGGCTTATTATATTATATTATACTATATTATATTTTTCTTGAATTTTGGCAGCTTAAATAATATTCCTAACTAGAAATAAGAAAAGGATGGCAAATTATTCACTTGTTATACAGACTGACCAATTTCACTGCAGTCAATTACATTACACTAAAGCTGAATTTGATCCAATGGTTGATTTATCTGGTTTAAATTGAACTGATTTCTAGTTTAATATAATTTTTTAAAAAGAAAAATCCAATCAACATGTCTGGCTAAAGTTTAAAAAGGACTACCATATATCAACCCTAAAAGGTCATTTTTTAAACTTTTTTTCTGTTTATGTTCACTTCTCACATTCAGAAGAAACATAATATCCATAGGAGGAAAAAAACTTTTACCTTGATAAAAGATAACATCTAATCCTAGCTAATATTCTCATCCTTGCTTTTTCATTATTTTCAAGTCCCAGGAGTATAACTATAATCCAGGTATAATGGCACTTTTTAAGCCAAGAGACAGAAGTTAAATGTCAATACCAGCTTAAAACTATTACTTAACACATATGGGAGCTACTTGACTGACAGTCTTAACGAACACAATGGGGGTTAACACAAGACAGAAGGAAGAGAATAGCCATCTCAACACCATCTAGAAAAATACACACGCTCTCATTTTTCCAGCTATTATTGTCTGGGATACCCAATATGCAAAAGTGCTATAAGTGAAGATTACCTGTACTCTCCATGAAATCTTCACAATTAGAAGTTAAGATTGCATTACTTTATGGTGATCTTCCTGACCTTTGACTTTCGTCTTTTTTGTCTGGTGATCTTATTGACGGTTTTCCAATTTTTCCTCTACATACAGGCAAATGTAGCTTAGCTTTTGGGGGCTTGTTAACATATATATTGTGTAAGGAAGCTTCCAGATTAAAGAAGCTGACTGCAGTGTGAGCATTATCACCTGTATCAGAATGAGAGTGCTGATTCAGCAAGAAACCTAAACAATTTCAGGGGTCCAACTGTCTAAAATAGTTACCAGGCAGTGGCAATTGCTGTGGATAATCCATGGCAAAATCCCGTAATTGTATTGTTCATATGTTTCAAAATGTCTTGATTAAAAGGTCTGAAATTGAGAGCCAGAGGACGTGTTTCTATTGAAAAAGTGGGTTTTAGTCACTGATTTTAGTGGCCTCACAAACTTAATTTCAGTTGTTGTAAAGCACTATCTTATATATTTGAGAACATTACCACACCTCACTTTTGCTATTGCAGTGTAATTCGTCCTTGTGCAGCATGGTAAAGCACGGTGGTTGCAATCCTTCCAGCAACGTTGGCTATGTGCCAGGCCTCCACACAAGGTGAGTGAGCCCAAGTAAAGGACATTTCAGTTTAGGACAGAGCAGGATTAAAAGCAGGAAATCCATTTGCTAAAAATCCATCTCTCTGCTGTGAAGTGTCATGAGCCTCCACTGCTCTTTTGAAGCTCTGACTTCAATGGGAGTAAAATTGAACAGAGCCTGGGCAAACACAGTGCTGTTTATTTATGTGGTATAATGTAAATAAACAGCGCAAAAGTAATTCAGTTTTTTATCACAGCATGTGATAAGCCATTACCTCATGTTTTCTATGGAAGATAGTCTCAGCTGAAAAACTTGGTAACACAGTAGGCTGTTAATAGGATGTAGAATGTGATTACGTTTTTTGGATTACTGCAATATGTGATTACTTTCAGGAGTTGGTAGAAAGAAACTCTATTAAATGATAATTATAGGACTGTATTCACTTTAAAGTTCTGTAATAGACCCAAACATTGGAGTTTTCATTAACTGTTCTCCACAGTTAATAAAGCCATTTTTCTTTAAAACTAGCAATTCCCTCTGAAAGCGGTGGCACGGTATATACACTACTCAGCTTTACAACTGAAAAAAGAAACTTTAAATAATCATGTAAATTATTTGACTTGCAAATGGTAACACACTCTCTCCGAGAAGTTTTTTTTATATGGAAGTACATAGAATTTTAACTTTTTTACTTTGCTCTCTACCATAACTTATTTAAAAAACAAACACAGAAATAGGTAAATTAACAACATCACTGCACTGAGGATTGGACAAAAAAGAGGGAAAGACAGGATGGAAATGGATGGATTTCATTACACCATTCATTTCCTAAACACAAAATTATACAGGAAGATTCAATCCTTAAATACCATCTTGTTGAAACAACCTTTTGCAGTATTGTCAGGTACAGTCACTACATTCAACTGCCATCATCATTTCCATTACAAAATTTCTTCATCTCGGTTAACTTTGTCATTAAAAAAAATAATGAATTTGCTGCATATGGAAATGAAGGATTAATGGAATTGGCTGGAGTCAGGAACCATAATACCATTTGCCTGCAGCTGTATCAGAGCATCTCAATTTTGACCTGTGCTTCCTCTGTTAGATTATAAAATCTAATCCATTTTCAATTTGATATGGTGAGCATAAAATATCTTTTAAAGAGAAACTTGGCCTCAGGGTCTCAAGCAAAGAATACATTTTTATTTACTTCTCTCTAAAAGTACATTCATCAATTCTTCAAATATTGTGTTTTACTACTTTAAAAGAGAATAAATATATCCCCCCTCCACTGGATCCTTTATGAATTGCTTATGTACGTACAAGTGTCAAGTACTAGGCAACAGTATTACTTTGATCCTTCAAGAATAACAGAAATTTTGTTTGGGAACTCTGATGATAATTACCCTCACTTCAGATGTGATAGAGATATAAAGTATGCCACAACATAACACTTGAGAGAAAGAAGTTGTTACTGAAATCACGTATCTGGATTATGTTGCCTTTTGTACTTCTGGCAACCTAGAAGAAATCCCTCGGATTCATTATTTAAACCAGTTCAACAGAGTTCTACATTTCAGAAAACAGTTACGTTTCCTTCAAACATTAAAGCTTGCTAATTAAAACCAATTTCTTAGAACCTGAAGCAGTTTTTTCCCTGTACAGGAAAATAACAAATGAACATTGAATGAGAATATCATACTGCTTATCATTAAATAAATAGAATAAATATTAATAATGGTTGAACCTGTCTTTTTTCTGTTTATCCACCTCTGGCTTCCTCAAACTCTGCCAAGTTAGGTTCACTGATGCTATTATGTTAGATGATCAAATAAGTTTTGACGTTCACCTATGCCTGGGGTTTTTTTGCCTACAAATTTCTTACATCTTAACATTAATCTGAATGCAAGGCTATACTATATTTCATGAACAGAAAATTGGCAAAGGGATCAGGATACCCATATCCTGAGATACACTCAGGCTGGGTATGTTTCGCAACAGAAATCCACATATGTATTTCCTACAAAAGCTTAGCATGGCCGTGATTTTATTCCATTAGGAATCTAGTCCGTGTCTCTTGTGATCCATAATTTAAAAAACTAGCAAGCAGAGAAAGGTGAACAAATACAAGCAACCTAACAATTTTCCTGCCTCAGCTAATTTTAGCCTAGCAAGTAAGTTTTCTCTAAATCAAGGAGATCTGCCGATTACATATAGTGAATGTTTTTGTCAATGGTTTTTACCCTCTTTCCGGGAGATAAAATGGCAGTGGATTTTTCATGTAGGTTATGGTTATGTAATTTAAAATATGTATTCAAGAAAATGAAAATAAGTTAACAAACATTACATTATTCCAAGAACATTTCAGCTATATTTTTTCTGCTTTCCTCCCTTAAATCTCTGGAAAACAGACACTCTGTCAAAGTTAGTGAAAATGCTGTTGCATGACATTATGTTGGCCTATCAGTTTTCCTTTGTCATTTCTTTGGACATTAGTATAGAGGGAATCTTCACACAAACCTCTGTTGTCTCTGAGTGTAAAATTGGGATTATGAATAATTTCAGGTGGTAAACTGAAGATAAATCTTGGTCCATTGGCTGAGTCATCCTTGTCATCAGCACTAATTGTAATAAATTGCTGTAAGAGAAAAGCACTCTGTAAACAAACAGCTCCTTCTCTGGTTACATCACATATAAACAGCATTCTGAGAAATCCCTTGAATACAAAGAATTTTGAAATAGCAGAAACCCCCCAAATACCTCAATATATGTATGCAATTATAAACACAGAGCAGACTCAAAACTAGAACAGGCAATCTTTATTTGCTATTACATCTAACCAACACAGAACTATAGATGAAAAAGTATACACCTATACATACATTCTTATATACAAATGTGTGTTAATGATAACTCAGTAGACTAAATAAAATTATGCAGAAAATTCAGCAGCTCAGAAGGAGTTAGCCCAAAGTCCTTTCCAAAATGCTACACTAACTCCAAAAGTGCAGATAATGTGTAGAGCAGTATTTCTATAGGATACTAACCCCTCTTCCTCACAGATAGTTCAGGGGTAAATCTGTAGGCTAAGCCCTCCAAGCACTGTACTGTGATTCTTCCTATAAGATGCTGAGTATTTCTCTAATATCCAAAACAGGCTCACAACTGGGAAAGCTGCTCCCAAAAAGCTTCGTTGCCCATGTGATAGTAGACACTCACAGTCAACACCAGTCATATTCAATGCACAAAGCACTGTATCTATAACTGTTGGTAGCAGTTCAAAATAAAAACACAGGAAAGTGCCTTTCTGTGTGCTCTAGGCATTTTGGCCAAAATTTCAAAATAAACATTCATTTACTACCACTCATTTGAGCTGCCAACACAAAATTGGGCTAACACCCTGAAGAAAGAAATTAATGTGCAGGGAAGGTGGTGGGCACAGGCATACCTGATTGCTTCGAGCATTCTCACAGACAAACGCTTCATAGGCTGCTGCAAATTTTGGAGCGTTGTCATTGACATCAACGACCTTAATTGCAACTGGAACTTTGGCTTCCTGGTGTTGTTTGTCTATTCGAGTAAGCAAAACCAAAATGAAACAGAAGCAGGAAAACCTCTCAAAACAAACAAAATCCCAGTTGTATCCAGGTAAAAATGAAATAGGCTAAAGTATTTCTATTAGGATTTATTGCAGCTTATCAAACTGAGACAATTAGAAGACTACAGAATTTATACCACTGATTATAAAATTTCTCAGTGAAATACTTACGGACTTCAACTGCAAAGACAGAGATATTATGCCAAGCAATTTCTTCCCTATCCAAAGCTTTTATTGTCTTGATATTGCCATCTTCTGCATTAATAATAAAATACCTTTCAAGGTCAGTGTGTCGATCAATTGAATATCTAAAGAAGATTGAAAGTCAGTAATTAGATAGAAGAAGGACTTAGTAGTTTCATGCATCCAAATTTGTTCTATATCATTATTATTTTTAAATAATCGTAAGTAGTACATTCACTGTTACCCTTAATATCATCGTCAAAGGGATGATACGTGGTTCTTTTAAAAGGACATTCACCTCGTTGGTTTCCACATTTAGAAAAAATATTACGTCAGAATGTTTGTCATAAATGAAAATTATTGTTCTTTGAAGTCTCTATATTAAAGGCCCCAAATATTCTTTATTTTCTTCTCTTAAAAACATGGTAAAAATATCTACTGAGATATTTATGTTTTCTTCTGTTTCATATTAATCATGAAGATCTTCAAAGTTTTCTGATCTTTGGATTACTCAGAATATTAATCATACCAGATTATTAAATATTATCCATTTGTAAAGCTGTACATTTGTACAGCTTTATACAGCTCTGGGTTTTGTATCTTTACCTTTCAATTCTTTGAAATGTTAACTATACCCATAAAAGAGTTTCATAATTTAATTTACACTGAGAACATGACAAACAAGAATAAACGAATAGAAGACTACCCCTTGTAACTGCACAAAGTAGGTGTGTGTATGTGCTTGTCATTAGCAATTAACGCTTAACAATTACCCAACATAATCTCTAATATACTGCGTAGACTTCTGTGTTTTGCAAAAAAAACATGCTGTGATAACAGCATAGGATATTTTATAGAAAATATAATTTAGAAGAGAGTCTAACACAGATAGATGTCCTTAAGTATATTTTAGGTAGACATAGCTATGGTGTGCTTTCTTAGTGATACAGGCTTTGAGAAACTAGTAGCTTATGGAACAAGACATAAAAACAACGCTGTATGGTTAAAGTTATTAATATTCTGGGTGAATTTAGACTATTTCTATGCTAGATCTATCACACTATCTTAATAACTTGCATAGCAATTCTAAAAGCTAATGCTTAGAGAGAAACAGCCTGCTCTAATGAAGCATACCTTATAGCACTGTTTGCAGCATCAGGGTCTTTGGCATGCACTTTTCCAACCACAGTACCAGATGCTGCATTTTCTTGTACTTCAAAAATATAACTTGGTTTTAAAAATACAGGTGGCTCATCAGCATCTTCCACCGATATCTTCACTGTTACTGTGTCCTTGAATGGCCCATTGCTGATGAACTTAGGATCAATATGTACATTGGCTGCCTCTACCTTCAGACTGTAGGACTTTTTGGTTTCAAAATCTAAGAGCTGCAAGAAACAAGAATACAACACATTCCACAGTTAGGAAAACTAGAGTGTAAAAGCAGTAAGCAGTCCCCTAGTATTCAATGACATAAAACAAATGTGAGCATCTGTCAACAAGCTTGGACTGAAATGTGTGTATTTAAAAACATAAAGACTCAAATGGAAGGAGCTACATTCTATGTATGGAGCAGCATAGGAAGGCACTCAAAATATCACTACAGAGTCCTCGTCTTGCTCTTTGCTTGCTGTATCACTCAGGAAATCATCTTTCCTGGGAAAATTAATCTTCTCTTCATGCAGCCTTCCAGATAGCGCAAAGGAGTGATGGATAGGAAAGGGGTTCCCACAAAATGCCAGGCTTGGTCTACCCCAAGCTGTCAGGCATTCCTTTAGAGATATGGATATGGCTTGAATTGCCACTGGGTGCACCATGAGATAGGACAAAGAGAAGGTAAATTATTTAAGTAGTAGGGGAATTATGAAGATGGTTTGTAGTGCTTTCATTTCTGTAGTTCTTCCCATCCACAGATCTCACAGCACTTTACAAAGGGGAGGTGAAATAATGCCCCATGAGGTAAGTCCTTTTGGGAACCTGATCAAAGTCACAGCATATCTGCATTGTCATCAACATGAAATGGCTGCAGTGTTGCAGTATTGGTAGCCTCACAATGATCATGCCTTTAAATATCTGAGAAGCAGGTGCCAACCGCAATTCGCAAAGTATGCTAACACCATAGACAGAATGGTGTGACAGTTTGCCCACGTTTTAAAATACATAAAAAATACACTCCCACCTCTAGAACAGATACAGTAATTGAACCACAGCATAGTTTTGACCGGAGGAGACCTCTGGGTCTCTTCCTGAGAGATTGCCCCGATGCGCAGGGCAGGGCTAACTTTGCAGTTAAGTTGCCCAGGCTTTCTTCTTTGTGTTTTGATTATCTCCAAGAGAGATGAATAGCTATAAAGATACAAAGGGCAAAATAATAATGCTTAAATAATGAATAAGATTTATGGTTTATAATTTGTAATTTAAAATTCATTTAATAACACTTTTAAAGATCACACTGATGGATTGTATATGACATCACCTCAGTATTTTTGCTGCTTTTCGCATAGCCTGTGACTCCTTCAGAACAATATTGTGGACAATGCACAGCTGAAGAATTCAAACTATAGGGCATGAGGCTGTTCAGACCGAACATAAAGCAACAGTGAATGTTTGCTACTTATTAGTGCTAGGCAAAACTTCATTAACAATGAAGCTGATGGCATTGTATTTTACCGTGACTTTTTATTATGAATTCATTTAGTTTGTGCAATTAATCCACTGTACAGTATTTATGTAACTCTTCTTGGTTATTTTCTTCCATTCCAATTCAGCTAATGGGGAAATGGAATATTAAGAGTTAATCACAGCTTTAGAAACAAATTAAGTGAAATTGCATTTACTGATATTTTAGCTTAGGTGGTAATCCATTATTATCAAATATTCCGTCAGCAACAGAGAATACTACACATTAGTAGGTATTACTCACCTTTTTAAGCTTTATAACACCTTCCTGAGTCTCGTAATCTGTTGTAATCTCAAACATATCCATGCCATCTCCATCAATGATGCTGTAAGCTACTAAGCCATTTTCCCCTATGTCTGGGTCTTTGGCCTTCACTCTTCCTACTTCCTCTCCTGGGACAGCTGCTTCCGACACTGACATCTGGTATACACCTGGTGGAAGGAAAAAAGGCATTTGCCTTAAGTATGCAGTCTGCTCTCCATTTGTATATTTACTCATTTAACTTGTAAGTTTCAAATAAACACAGTAATTTTTTTACATTTTCAAATCCCCTGAAGGAATGTTATGTTATAACAGAGCTCTGAGAAGCAAGTCATCTGTGAAATCTTAAAATACATTGCTAATCTATATAAAATTACCTCCTCGCTGATATTTTACACAACATCTGTGTGTGTATCTGTTCACGGTGGGGTTAAAAAGACGACCAATCATTCAGAATGCAGAAATTGTTGTGACATCAAGGTTACCATTCGTACCAGAAATGTTATTACAATAATGGAAGGAAAATTCTCTTTCATATGACTCATGGTATGACCTTCAACTCTGTAGAGTCCAGAAGCATTTCTGCCCATTCATTCAGGAGCCACAAATTATATACAATGAATTAGATAAGACCTCTCTGCTGTGCTGGATGAAGAATCAATTGGCTTTAATTTGGAGTGTGAACATATAGTAGTAATGATTATTGAAATTTAACACAACAGAGAATACTTACCAATTTGTATGGGATTCCATACCAAACAAAAAATGGCTTTCCCTCATCAAACTCCAATAGGAAAACCATCCCCAAACATCCCACAGATGTGTTGCCATACAGGTTTTTCCTTGTGTATTCAGGAACACCAGAGGAGAGCAATACTGTTCCTGGACAAATCTCTCTCCAGCAGTTGTCCTTTAGGCAGCATTGATTCCAGCACCTTCCCAACCCACTCCAGAGTTCCGATAACATAACCTGATCCTAAATGTACAAATCTATGTCAGCATTTTCTGCCACTTCATCAGCATTAATAAATTGGAAAAAAAAAAGCATGAGAAAATAAAATAATCTAATTTATTCCCCGCTCCATAATTGCTTTGTTGCTACACGAGCACCCTAGGAACATCAGGAGACTTAGACCAGGCAGGGACTTGGCTCATTACCCATAAAAACAATTGGCACATGTCATCAAAATAGGTCATTAACTCCATTCACAAAGAACCCAAAATTTAAGCACATAGCTCATTAAGGGTTTGAGCAATGAACAAAAAAAAAAAAAGAAAAGAACAACAAAAAAAATCAATCACTTGGATGTTTATATAAACAGGTCAAATCCTGGTTTTGAGTTACAAAGCATTCTAAATCAAGGTTTTAAGTTGGAGGTGAATGATTAAGCAGAGTAACTGCTATTTGGCATTTCTGATAATTTTAAATATTCTCCCAAAATACTCAGTAAAATGGCTTGAATTTGTAGAAAAAAAATCCATCATTTGATGAAATTACTCCAGAAAATACCATGTCCTGGGGTCCCAGGTTATGATTTGGAGTGAAAAGGTATGTTTGTGAGGTATGTAAAACCTGACATTTTTAGGATTTAATACTTTTCTATTAGAGTGGTAGAAAACGCTGACATAGATTTTTACATTTAGGGACTAGCTGTGTCATTTAAGCTCCTGCATGAGGGTCCAGGAAGCTGCCACACTGGAAGAAGAGCTGTTAGAGAGATGGTCATGTCCAGGACGTATCAGTGTCATAATGGTTGCTCAGAGGAGAAACAGGGTGGGCTGGGATGGTGCATACATGGCACTCCAAAAAAAAAAAAAACATGCAGAGATGAGATGCAGAACAGATGTGTGGGTCCATTAATGTACTTCCACCCAACTGTGAAGACTGAATCTGTTAATGTCAGCCCTGATTAGTTTTATATGTGAAAAATAAGTAGCACAGTATTTTTGACCGATTTGGTTTAACACACAAGAGAGCCCTCAAGAAATGGGCCTTCTTTCTCCATTAACAGAGAAGTCCAGACTGTCTCTCTGATCATATCATAGGTATATTTCTAATATAACATGGTCCAGTAGTTTCAAAAATGAAGTGTAGGGTTAGGGATCTTTGTAATCTAATCTTGACCTTAAAAAAAAAGTCTCGTTTTGCAACACAAAGCAAATAATCTGGATATTAAAGCTCTATATGTTACTAGCAAAAATGTGTAAACAATATTTAACTATTCACATGTGTGCTGTTATAATCCATCAGTTGCTGCTTTTTGAAGTTTTGAGTATGTCTGATACTATACAAATATGGGTACTAGCAGTAAATGTGAGTAAGGGTTTTGTTGTTACTTACTCTGTGGGAACTTTGGTGGGTTGTCATTGACATCTGTAAGTGTAATTGTCACTTTGGTTGTCCCTGAGAGGCCTCCCATGTGTCCTCCCATATCTTTTGCCTGTATTACAACATGATACTCTTCCTTAGCTTCTCTGTCCATATTCGGAAGGGCAGTTCGGATAATTCCTATAAATACAAAGCAAATACGGTACATACAAATTTTCACAGGTTTACATCACAAAAAATTGGATACTGCATTTTTAGTTTGCATTCAAA